TTCTGCTTTAACGCTGATTTCATGAGTAGCCTATTTATTCAGGGATTATGGGAGTGAACAAGTGACCTAGGTGGTCTTCGCCAAAGCCAGTCATTCTTCATTATTTTTAACTTTGAGGCCCACATAACATGGAAGCAAAAGTACCAAATCAATAAAATCCCAGGGTCTGTTCCTGTGATGTTTCTGTTACGGCAGGAACACAGACTTTCCAGACATTAGTTCCTTCCTATCTGGTACCTTTGGTTTTGACACTTCAGCTCGGTGAAGTATCACAGTGATTTACTTTCCGCTTTCTGTGCTGACATCATGGAAATGTAGATTACTGTACAGCAGGCCAGGCATTGGAGAAAATAGGTGGGTACTTTGGTACAAGGTTTCCAACTTGAGTTGTAGCCTGAGGAGTTAGATGAGCATCCAAATCTGCATCCTTTGGAGTTCATCCCGAGTTTGCAGAATTCTGAACTCAGAGAAAGTTCATGTTGTGGTTGAGTTTCTAGTAACTGAGGACAGCCATGAGTTCTGAGGAGTATTTCATTAATTACTTCAAAGCAAAGCAGGGTCAACATTAGAGAGCTTGATTTCCATGTGAAAATCTATCACCCCCACCATTTTGTTCCCACTAGGAAAACCAGCACAACACGTTTGCAGCCTGCAGGGCTTTCCTGCCCCTCGTCACTTCTGCAGCCCCAGACTTTGAGTAACATGGGAGCCACTGATGTCAGTGGAGAAAGGGAGCACTTTGTGGTGTGCTGCTCGTGAACTTCAAAGCATCCAAGGAGAAATGTCATCTGCTGTCCCCCAGCTTTTTACGTGTAGGTGTCCTTTGAGAAACACTGCTGTTACTGACTGTTGCACAGTGCTTGTACAGGTTTGGTAGATAAAATACAGCCTGGCAATATGAGACAGCCGACCACTTTATTTTTGAAGTTCTCACAGCACCACATGGGTGACGGGTGGCCCAATTGTTATTGAGCAAATGAATACAAGAGGAAATGAAACCTTCTTCATCACTGAGACAAACTGTCGGGCTCCCTCGACCTGCACTCCTTGCCTTTTGGTGAATTAGCACCCCGCGTGTCTTGAGTCGCAAGGCAAGAGAGCAGAGCCTTGTCGGCAGTGAAAGCTGTGCCAACGAGATGGGCTTAAACCAGGGAGATGGGATTTCCTCTGGGGAAGCAGGAGGGCGAAGTAGAAATGGAGGAGAGAGACCCAGAATTTTGCATTGTTCCTCTCAGGGTCACGTTGCCCCGTGTTGCACTTTGTCATTAGCTGAATCACTGGAGCATCCCGTCAAATCAACATCCTGCATAGATTTTTAAAACCTTTAACTGGCACCTGCAGGGTTACAAGTTAGCAGTGTGTCTCCAGTTGCCCTGAACAGCCTGTCACAGCTCTTTCCCTCAGCTCCAAGGCGCTGGAGTGCTGCACAGTCAAGTAACCCGCCGTGGTATGAGGCAACCCAGGCTGTAATTGGGACTCTGTGACGTGACCCAGCATCACTTTTTTCCTTTCTAACTATTGTGCAAATGTTTCTCTGTGTTTCCTGTTTATCACAAACTCTGAGCCTCCCTAGACAGGCTATTCTGAGCTTGGCCTGCTTTCTGATGATTGCATCTGCATTAAAGCAAACACCCCTGCAGGGTTTCTCCATTCCCCTATCCTTGCCAGCTCTGAACCGGACAGCACTCCGTGTCTTGCAAGCACAAGGATGCACAAAAAAGGCCTGCCAAGGGCTGGCAGGGCTCTGGGGAAGGCGGCAAAGCTCTGTGCTATTTCAGGCCGCTTTTATTTTGCCAGTAAGTTCAGATACCTCTCCTTTACTAGTGACACGGTGGCTGCTAGGTCCTCCTGAGCTATGCATCAGTAAAATCACTACTGAGATCTACAGCCTTTGTCCAACCCGTATCAGTTACTGGCTTCTCTGTGGGGATATAAAACATGAATAGGATCCAGGGGAGTTACCCATCAGTAATGACTGCAGTAGTAATTTTGAGAAGGTGGTCCATTGCACGTTTTTGTGAACTGTTGTTTTTCTTTGGAAGGGAAAAGAGGCAGGGCACTACTATAACATTTTTGAGGATGATCTTTGTCTTTGCTGTTTAGAGAGCTGGCAATCTCTTGAAGTAATACAGCCATTAGTGTCTTGCTCCTCTCCACGGGGCTAAGGCCTGGACTGTGAGAAGTACAATAATGGCACTTTTCCTTCATAAAGCCCCTCTTCACTGAAGGATGAGACTTATACAAGAAAGACTTCTACAGAGTCTTGCTGAGATGAGTAGGTTAGTTTTGTCCTTGGTTTATGGCTAGTAGCAGACTGTGGAAGGCTGACTGCTGCCTGGGTGGTTACGGTGCGACACACCGCTCACCTGCCTGCCTTGTCGCGAGGTGCTGCCAGGCACGTCAAGCCGGATGCTTTCTGCATACCTGGGCTTGAAATCAAGACCTGAAAAACTGTATTTACTCTCAGGATTTAGCTCCCAGAAAATTAAAAATATATGTGGAACCTTCCACACTCACACACTTAAAATGATGAGGCTGAAGTAACTCAGATTATTTCTTTTTTGATTGGTTCCTAGCATAGATCTTTAGGTAGTAAATAGGTATTTGCTTTCTGGTCTGGTTTTCTCCTATCGAGCATAGGCCATGCAGTGCTGTAACTGAATCCCTTCCTTCAAGCAGTAGTTATAAATCACTGCCTCTTGTCATGCTCTAGGACAGTAACCAAGCAGGACTCTGACTGGATGTTGCCATCCATCACTCACTTTGTCTGAACATATGTTTCCACTGCACCCAGCAAGAGGTTTTTCAGAAGTGAATCGTCAATGCAGTTAGACAGCCCATCTGCAGAGAATTTCTTCTCTCACAGGCAGGATATCCCCTGGGAAGGAGAGCAGGGTTGAGTGATCCCTGCCATAGCTTGTGCAGTACTCACATTCCCCATGAAATACCTGGTCTCCTGCCTCCAAAGGGAACTTGGTTGCAGTTCCAGTTTCTGAGCGGCTGCGGTACATGGTGCTGATGGTGAACCTCAGTACTACTGGAAGAGTGTTGTGGGAGCGGGTGCTGCTTCTCTTTTGGTTTTGTCTCATTCCTGAAGCAAATCCAACTGTAGCAATTAGAGGGCTGAACAAGCCCTCTGCAAATATCAGTGCACATCTTGTAAGAGAAAAGAGTAACAGGTCTTTTAGAAGAGGAGACAAAATGCAATAAACTGGCTCTCGCCCTGCTTTTTGATGAAATAGCTGTACAGTTGAAATCTACCCAGCTTCCGTTTCCTGTTTGTATAAGCAGTTTTCATCTAAGTGCTGGTCCTGAGTAAGTTACGCCTACAGAGCTGTCACCATCAAGTGCTGCGTATCGCTGAATTCCCAGCAGTTCTGGCAGTGTTGAACTGCATACAGACATGTTTCCATGCCCTCCCCACTTCTCTGAAGGAGCTGTTTCCAGAGATCCCAGCGAGGAAATGGGTCTCTCAGATGCCTTTTGACTCTGCAGAGAGGAATAAGTGGTTTTAAGGTTGACACACGTACAAACAGCCTTTCCTCCATCCTGATACGCAAGGAAGGCCAAGGGTGATGTGGTGTGAGAGGTTGCTTTCGCTGGTTTTGTATGGGGGTCTAGAGGAAGAGAGATGATAACCAACATGCTGGGAAATCCTCCTCCTCTGCACAGTGCTGGGAAACTACCGCTTCTCATTTGTTTCCTGCCAAGTACCTTACTGGCATTCAGGGAAAGTTGTCTGTGTTCGGGCTTAGCAGAGGATGATATCTCAGGAAATTAAAGGACGTCACGAACTAAAGGTATATTGGGGCAAGTTCCTAATTACTTGTGTGATCCCTGCAGGGGAGATGTTAGGGATGGTTTTGTACTTTGTTCGTGGTTTGTTAGCATAGCAGCTTTAGGACAATCAGTTATTTGAAGGACTGGGAAGAAGCCCCACCTAGTTGTCCTTGTTTGCTTCTTTAGATCTTTTTCCTGCCTTTGTGGAATCCTGGAAGTTTGTCATGCCCGACTGTGCAATGCTTAGACTGTGTCTTGTTGCAGGGTTTATTTCAGTTATCTACAGTCTCCACAGTGCTACGTTAACTCCCTTTGAGTTAGCCTAGGTCAAATCAGAGCAGTTACAGTGTGGCTTGGAGCAGCCCCCAGCAATTTTGCTAGCAGCTGAGGAAATGCACTGACTCCATCTCTAATTAATACCCTTAGTAAACTCAAGTTACAAGCACCATGGCAGTCAGGATGGGAATTTTGGGTGAGAACAAGGCTTGTGGTAATTACAGGGACTTAGTCACAAGTTGTTAACTCCGTGTTGAAGACATGCTCTTAGAAGTATCCATGCTCGAACAGATTGGGAATTGAGAGAAAGCAGAGTCTTATGCTTAAGGCTCTGAACACCGCATCTCCAGTAATCAGGTTTAGTTGTGCCCTGTACTTCTTATGTCACTTCTTATATTTCTTTTCCTTTCTGTGCCTCAGTGCTGCAGGTATAACATCACCCTGCTGTCTGTCTTCTGCTCTTTGTCTTCCCTGCATCCACTGCAAGTTCTTGAGGATGGGGATTTTCTAATATTACTTGAGTATGCAATATGTAGTGCAGCGTGGCCGCACCTGTACCTGTGGGAGGTCAGGAGAGCCTGAAGTGACATCTCTGAGTTTCTGTACTTTGAAAATATGTCATTGGCTTTGGATTGTGAGGCAGGAACAGGCTTGAATGCTCATGTAACTGCTACAGCTATTTCCCTTTGGTAGATTGGGACTTTTCTTTCAACCTTGAAATTTTGCTGGTTTTCTGTTCTGCAGGGCAGGGAGTGCTGAGGCTGAAAGAATTGAATTTTTCTTAAATTATGGAAGTACTAAAGAAGATACATTAGTATAAGTTGCGGTATCCTCTGCATTTAAAAAGGAGTCAAAAATGGGTACATGGGAAGAAAATGTGTGACAATATCTATGTATTCTAAGACCAAGTTTCTAATTTCTTTATTTCTTTCTGTTTCTTCCAGGTGGAGCGGGAAATAGCCATCCTGAAGTTGATAGAACATCCCCACGTTTTAAAGCTGCATGATGTTTACGAAAATAAAAAATATTTGTAGGTATTACTGGCTTTTGCCAGAGAAAGGGGAAGGGAAGGAGGAAGGAAGGGAGGGAGATGAGGGTTTTGGAACTTGGTAACGTTTTGGAAAGAATGAAGCAGGCTGTGTTTTCGCCCTCAGCTGGTGTCCATGTGATATCTGGTAGTTGGATGAGGAAGGAACACTCCTTATTTCCTTGGTTTTTCTCATTCTCTTCTTGGTACTTTACTTACGTGCCATTTCATTTCCTACTTAAAATTGAGGAGAGAGGACAAACCAACGTTTTCTATCAAACAGCAAGAAGGGAGGAAGGATTGTACCTGTAAGATCTGGAACATTTTGAATCAAAACTGTAACAGACAGTTGCATTGCAGTGGGTAATTTGGATAACCTCCCTTGCCTAATAGTTTTCACTGAAACCCTCAGCTCCCCCTAACAATATTTTAAATTTGCCCCATCAATGGCAATTTCTGGTTTTAAGGTCTGCTGAAATCTCCTGATGGGTCTGCAGTAACAGTTAAGTAGCAAAGACTTTTTCTATTTTTCAAATCATTGCCAGTGCCAGACAGGGATGTTGTCCACAGACAGAGTCATTTTAGCTTGACAGGGCACTAGATATGTTGAATCTGTTGTCAAACAAACAGACCACATTAATCTTGGCACAACAGGAAAAAAAATCAATGTTCTCCAAATGGAAAAGGGCAACCCAGTAGGGAACTCTGTTATTTTCAGCTTTTTAACAGGTTACTACGAGTAGAAGAGAGTGGTTAAAAAAAATTAAACTATTTTTTAAAACCACCATCCATTGGTGACCTCTCCTCAATGTCACAACACAAGAAGAGAATGACTGTTTACCCAAAGAAAGTGTGTTGAGTGGAGGTAACAAACCCTCACGGACGATTCAGCCGGTCTCATTACTGGAGCAGTGAATTCCTGTTGCGAGAAGTGAAGCCTCTGTGCCCCAGGATCAGCTTGGCAGAGCAGGCAGTCAGTTCTTTGGGGTTCCCCTTCCTCCTTTGGGGACAGAGCTTGCCAGCCACGGTGAAATGCGGTGGCCAGAGTGAGCTCGTGCTGTTCTCGAGCTGCATGCCGCGTGCTCTGTCCTTAGTGGCTTCAGTGGTCACGGCACCATTAAGCCCAGTTTGCCCCAGCTGAGGACGGAGGCCCGGATCTAATGCAGCCTGCTCTACGTGCAGGAGAAGCGTAGCGAAGGGAAATGAGGCTTTGCAGCCAATAAATTTTCTTTTAATCCTGAAAAGAGAGTCATCACTTACGAGAGTACATTCCTCTGTATTCTGGTTTGGCAGAGGGGGTAGGATGAGGCCCCAGGCTTTCTTTTGGTTAAGAGAGAGGGATTATTCTCCTTTGTGAGCCTTGTTTATTTTTATGTTGCGTAATCTTAGCTGTACATACATATGAACAGAGCATACAGCTGACGTGTTCCAGGTGGGTGTAGTATACTTGCATGGTGGAGACAATGTATAAGTAGATGAAGGAGAAAGGCCAGTGCGGGCATGGGTCACCCTGGTGCTGAAGCTTTCTTCTTGCTCTGGATGCCTGTGAAGGGAGCAGCTGAGCTGAGCTCTCCTTCTTTACCCCGAAAGACTTGGGGACTATTTTGCTTCATGTGAAAAATAGCTAGTGCTCAGAGCAGTGGGGATGGTCTTAAACCAAGGTTTCCAAAAAATGACTGCATTCCTTGGCAGGAAAATACCTTCCTGCTGAAAATCACCTTGAAAAGGGAAGCATCCCATATCTTTAAGCTATATCTGGATATCCTGGCTTCTAAAACTGGTCTCCAAAGCATGCTTTACCAGTGACTGTTTAGCCTTTAGCAATCACTGAGTCTTCTTTGTGCTGCAGCTCCTCTGCTCGTAAGATTGAGCTGTCCGCCTCTCCCCGCAAAAGGCACCGAATCCCTCTGCTGAAGAGCCAATGACTGTTCATTACATTTCATTTTTTATTAGTCACTATTTTAAAGAAAGGGCACGATACAGAGCTTCTGCCAAGCCTCCATGTTCAAAATTAGAAACGGCCGTGGCCTTGGATAAATCTAAGAGGTGGAAGAGAATGCCTGTGGAGGGGAGAAGTGTTACAAGTCGGGGGGGGTTGAGAAGCACGTATGCATGTGCTTTCCCAAATAATAAGACACAGTGACCTCTCGTTCTCACCAGCATCAGCACAGGGATTGCACTCTGGCTGTGGCAGCACCTTTCCATCACGTGTGCCGTCTCAGCAGTAACGGTAGCGGCATGGTTTCAGCGGAGCTCGTGAATTATGGGTGATATTTCAGAAGCCAGAGCCTAATCACGATGCAGCGCTGGGGAGTATTTCCTCGATAAATGTTAATTTCACAAATCATGTTTGACTTTTGGTTTGTGATTTAATTTGTGACAAGGGGCTTTGGTTGAGTAGATTCCTAATGCGACCATGAATCAAATCCTTTTTCCACAGTTTATTTAACACTGAAAATTGGTTTTAAAAAATAATAATAAAAATCTGTTAGCATATGTATGTTAGCCTAGCAGTCATTTTCTGTTTGTTTTGGTGTTTTTTTTACCAAGATGGAGCGATGGAGATATCTATGAGCTCTAAGACGTCCAGCTCTTTATCCAGCATTTTGAGTTGTTTCATTTAGTAAGGCTGTGGCCTACAGTTCTAGGTGTGTAGGGGAAAGCACAGCTGCGCTGGGTCTGTTTGTGTGTGTGCTGATATACCACCTCAGATATACATTATGTTGGCTAAACTAGCAAAATTTCTGACAGTTGAATTATTTTGTATTTGTTGTATGATCACACTGACGGCCTTAAAGCAAGATTTGGAGTCCACAGTAATAGGTAATTTAGAAATAGCTATATATAATATATGCCTCCCTCTCTCCCATCATACAATGTTAATAGACAAAACAGCCAGGAAGGGCGGGATGATCCTCCCATTTTAAAGGTCAAGAAGGAATTAAAGTAGCCTGGTATGGGGTAAGCCCAGAATTGTTTAAGAAATTATATTGCTGATTCATAATAGGGCATGATCAACGAGCTACCAAAGTTTGGGTGTGCACCAGTCATTTTGACTAACCAAACTCAGACAGTCAGGAATTTTAGGGAAACATAAATAAACTGAGCAAGGCAATAACAGAGCTGATAACTAAGGTGTTGGTGTGCTCTGTAATGCATATCAGAGGGGAAACACTCCTTTGGACATATGGTTTCTGCATTGCAAGTGAACTGTGTGAATCTGGGCGATAGTCCTCTTTTCTCTCTGCTATGTATAGAAATGGTCGTGCCTGAACTGGCCCTAGATAGAGTTTGTGTAGCAGCCGGAGGGGAAGTCAGAATTCATACACTGGTAGCATCACTACCCCTGTGAATGAGCAGGAGGTTCTCATTAGCAGACGTGTTGAGGATTAAATAAGAGGAAACATGCAAAGCCCAGTCCTTCATGAGTGAAGTGTTTGGGTCGGATTTTTCCTAGGAAGCAGTCTTATGCTTTATTCTTAAATCCGTGGTATGTACATTTACTGCATTTTATGCAGTAAATTCAGTTTTCCTTTTGATCTTAGAAAAGCAATTGTCCCACTGTTGGAGGAGCTGTTAGCATGGCAACCATCATGTAGTCCACAGGAGATGGACCTTCCCTTTCCAAAGGGGCTAAAGCTGACTGATACAGTTGTGCTGCAGAACTCCCAACAGGGGTGGCATTATCCGTTTGATCTCATCTGATTAGCTATTTAGTTTAAATTACCGAGGGTTTGGTGGGGAGTGGGAATGGGATAGAATAAAGACATCCTAGGACCGCTCCATGCTCTTTTCTTTCAGATCAGAATATTGTTCTCTGAAATGTGCCATGCATTCATTAGCTCTTTTTCCAAGCACAAGTCCCTTTCTCATCATTCAGCAGTACAGTGCTATCACTGGGCAAGTGCCCAAGCCTCATTGCAATGTACACAACACACCACCTCCTGATTTCAGAGGTGAAGGTGCTTCCCAATGAGGCAGATAACAAAATTAAAATGTCCTCCTACCCATGCACAACTCACGTTTCTGGCTTATACAAGATCAGCTGACAGCAGGAGTCAAAGACTTACAACTCTGGTGGTGTCTGCAGAGGCATTCATGCTGCCAGTCCTCTCCTGCAGGGTTTCCCTGTAATTCTCTTTATTTTTGTTGAAAACTAATGGTGAGGTGACAGAGGATGCAAGAAAGAGAAAAAAGGATTCTGTGTGTTCTTCTTTTATTGGTAGCCCAGGACTTTGACATTTGATCCATCTGCAGGGAAACCTGTCTAAAGGCAGAAGGAGAGTTCAGAAAGTTGGAGCCGCTCCAAGGGCTCCAGAAAATTCAAGAAATTTTCTTTAAGCTCCCAGAAAATTAATTTTGTGGGAGGTACGCTTCTTGGTAGTCTGGTTGTGGGGTGTCTGATGCTGTGGGTAGAGGAAATAGAACAGGATTGGAAGACAAAACTGTGTTCCACCTGAGTCTTGATTAGAATTAAGAGAACTATTCATAACTAGCTACTTCGACCCCTTTTCTCCTGCTGTTGACTTGTTTCGGTACTGTTGTGAATTACGAGCACGTGTAGTGAGAGGAAAGGCAGTCAGCTGTAGGAGTGGAGCCAGCTCATGGGAGGCCTCGAGTCGAGGATGGGCCTGAAGACGAGGAGAAGGGGAAGGGGGCGCTGTGCCAAGGAGAGGTGTCACCGCTCGCAGGAGGGATGCCAGCCTGCCACAAAGCGGGGCTTGCACAGGGGTGGTGCTGATGATTAATGCTATACCCTGTGCAGCATGGTCTTAATAAGCTCTACTCAAAAGCCTGACTGTATCTCCTGCTCACTGCCTGACAGGTGCGCTTGCACCTACCATCTAGGCCACGCTGCTGGTCTTGAGAGAAAACAGCAAGCCCATGATGTGAGCAGAGGTCAAGGGGAGATGGAGCTCCAGAGCCACAGTATATTTACATGCCTAATTGCTCTTTCAGGCTTTGGTAGGCGACGTCTGGGCCCTAGTTGTTAAAGGAAAGGC